ATGCCGAGCGTACGGGTCTCATGCAAGGACCGAGGCCGGAGGGTGAAGTGTACACTGTCTCTGGTGCTAAAAAGTATTGCCGCTATCACCGGGTTGATAATCACGACACAGAGGAGTGCTTTACCTTGAAACGCGAGATTGAAAGACTGATCCAAAGGGGCCATCTGAGTAACTTCGTCAAAGGGGCTGCACAGCAGCCCAACCATGTATGGCGGAAATCATCAGAACAAGTGGCGTGCACGCAGCCGGAGACCCGAAGGGCAGAGAAAAGACACATTGGAAATGAGAGTGACGAGGATGCCTCGGATGAGCCAGGGCCGAAGCGAGACAAGAGGAACCATGACATCAATTTCATTTATGGAGGTAATGCAGGCGGGGACTCTTCGTCCCTTCGAAAGAAATGGGCTCGTCAACTGTACATTGGTGAGATCATGCACTCTCCAATGAAAAAGAAGGTACGACGTGAACCTATATGCTTTACTGATGATGACCTACCACCATGTCCAAGCCCACATCGGGATGCCATGGTTATCAAAATGGAGATCAATGATCTTGTCATACACCGTACCCTGGTCGACACTGGAAGTTCCGTTAACATAATGTACCTCGACACTTTCGAGAAACTGAAGTTGTCCAAAGGAAAACTCCATCCGATAAAAACCCCGTTATCTGGGTTCACGGGTGACTCTATCGAGGCAAAGGGAGTTGTCACGGTCCCGGTGGAGGTGGGGGACACGTCCCATAAAGTGAAACTCAACATGGAGTTCGTAGTTGTCCGACTGACATGTGCACATAATCTTATACTCGGACGGCCAGGCCTGGAAGATTTGCAGTGCATTGTGTCCCCGACACATCTTTGTATTAAGTTCCCAACACCAACCGGAGTGGGGATAGCACGCGGGAGCCAGAAGCTCGCCCGAACATGTTACATAAAAATCACAAAGAAGGTGGGGCGGCATGGCCTCCAGGTAAACACTGTGGCCACACAATACCTACAAGATGAAGAGCGAAGACCCCGTGCTGAACCAGCAGAAGGGACAGAAGAGGTCACCCTTGACCCTGCAACCCCAGAGCGCAAGGTTAAGATAGGCACCGGATTGTCAGCTGAGCTCCGCGCTGAGGTCATAACCGTCCTGACTATGTACCAAGACATATTTGCAAGAGGACCAGAGGACATGCCGGGCATCAGTAGAGATGTCATCTCTCATCGCCTAGATGTGGACACTATGTCAAAACCGGTGAAACAAAAGAAACGTTACATGTCCTCGGACAGGCGGGAATTCGTAAGGAAAGAAGTGGGCACCTTGTTAAAAATCGGCCACATCAAGGAGGTGAAATACCCAGAATGGTTGGCAAATGTGGTATTGGCACCTAAACCCCCAACGTGGAGGATGTGTGTGGATTACACTGACCTAAACAAGGCATGCCCGATGGATCCATTCCCATTGCCTAACATCGACCAATTGGTGGACGAGACAGCGGGGTGTGAATTGATGAGTTTCATGGATGCTTTCAGTGGATACCACCAAATTCGCATGCATGAGGAGGATGCAGAGAAGACCTCATTCATGACTCCAGAGGGTGTTTTCTGTTACTTAGTCATGGCGTTTGGACTGAAAAACTCTGGGGCAACGTACACCCGCATGATCTCTAAACTTTTTCGACCTGTCCTAGGCCGCACCATGGAGGCCTACATGGATGATATGATTGTGAAGAGTAAAAGAGCAGGTACGCATGCCGTGGATTTGGCAGAGGTGTTCAAAATCATGGAGAAGTTCAATCTTCGTCTCAATCCAAAGAAGTGCACGTTCGCCGTGCAAGGAGGGAAGTTCCTGGGTTACTTGGTAAGCAGAAGAGGAATCGAGCCAAATCCGGAGAAAGTCAAGGCCATACTCGAAATGGAACCTCCTCGTAATGTCAAAAAAGTGCAGCGATTGACGGGACGCTTGGCGGCTTTGAACCGCTTCTTATCAAAACTAGCGGAGAAAGCCACGCCATTCTTCCACATCATGAAGAAATCAAAGGGTTTCGTATGGACTGAGGAGTGTCAAAAGTCATTCGAGGGATTGAAAAACTACCTCTTGTCTCCTCCAGTGTTATCTAAACCTGAAGCGGGGGAGACACTATACCTATACCTAGGGGTTTCACCAAGTGCAATTAGTTCTGTCTTGGTGCGTGAAGATGGTGGCGTCCAAAGACCCGTTTACTATGTAAGCAAAACTTTGAGGGACGCTGAGCTACGGTACACAACCATAGAAAAAACTGTTCTATCCGTGGTGTGGACGGTCAAACGGCTCACGCAATACTTCCAAGCTCACCCTGTCCATGTACTGTCACACCAACCCCTGGGTGCCTTAATGAGGAGTCCCACGGCTTCCTCGAGGATGGTCAAATGGGCAGTGTATCTAAGTCAATTTCATATAGAGGTGAAGCCAAGACCTTCCATCAAGGGGCAAGCTCTTGCAGATTTCATAGTAGAATGCACGGCGCGGGAGGAAGCAACGAAGATGAAGCATGGCGACGATGAACAAGAGTGGTGGATACTGTCCACGGATGGCTCCTCCGCGGCCAAATCTTGCGGGGGAGGGGTGGTCCTCACCACGCCCGAAGGCTTCAGGGCCTATTACGCTATCCGGTTCAACTTCAAGGTGTCGAATAATGAGGCAGAGTACGAGGCTCTACTATGTGGTCTACGCTTGGCAGCAAACATGAGGGCAGAGAAGGTCAAGATACGGTGTGATTCAAAACTAGTGGTTGGACAGATCACGACTGAGTTTGAGGCGAAGGAAGAACGGATGCGGCTATATCGTGACGCTGCCCTAGAACTTCTGAAATTGTTCATCGCCTATGAAATTGAACAGATACCAAGAGCGCAAAATGTCGAAGCAGACATGTTATCCAAATTAAGTGCAGAGACACCGGAAAGGATTTCAAAGATTGCAAGGATAGAAGAGTTGGACACTTCCAGCATATATGCATGCCCTGTCCAGGCCATAACCACGAGGGACGCGGACTGGATTGACTCCCTCATCAAGTATATCAACGAGGGAGTGCTGCCCGCGGAGGAGGTTGAAGCCAAGGTGACTAAGATGAGGGCGCCGAGTTATACCATTTTGAATGAGAAACTGTACAAGAGGTCTTACAATGGCACGCTTCTCAAGTGCTTACGACCAGATGAAGCCAAGGTTGCCATGGAAGAGATACATGCAGGGATATGCTCAGCTCACCAAGGAGCACACACCATGTCCCGAAAGGTAATCCTACAAGGTTTCTTCTGGCCAACCATAGTTAAGGATTGCGCTGAATTTGTCAAGAGGTGTGTGGTGTGTCAAGAGTTCCAGAAATCTCCGGGACGTCCAGCCACCAACTACACCCCCATCAGCACGGCTATACCTTTCGCAAGGTGGGGAATAGATCTCATTGGTGCCTTACCAAGGGGAACAGGGAGCGTGAGATGGGTTATCATTGCCATAGACTATTTTACTAAATGGATAGAAGCAGTACCCCTAGCAAGCATCACTGAAGGGCAATGCAGAAAATTTGTCATGAAGCACATCCTTTGTCGCTTTGGAGTACCCCAACAGATCATAACCGATAATGGGAGGCAATTCGGAGCATCCGGGTTTAACGAATTCTGTGAGAGTTGGGGGATCAAACACAGCAATGCGTCAGTTGCCTATCCCCAAGCGAATGGCCAAGTGGAGAATGCAAACCGCACGATCATGGACGGTTTGAAGAAAAAGCTGGAAGCTGCCGGAGGGGAGTGGGCTGAAGAACTACCACAGATACTCTGGGCATACAGGACCACACCAAGAAAGGCCACAGGGGAGACACCATTCTCCTTGACATATGGTTTCGAGGCGAGGGCACCTGCGGAAGTAATTCTCCATAGCCGCCGAGAAGAGGAATATGACCCCGAGACGAACGAGGAGGTCATGGCGACCGAGCTTCTTTTTATTGAAGAAAGAAGAGAAGCGGCTTTCTGCCGTGCGGAGAACTATAGAAGGCAGGTGAAGGGATACCATGATTCTCGAGTTCGTAAACGCAACTTTGAAGTTGGGGACTATGTCTTGAGAAAAAGGGAGGTCAGCAAACCCTTGGAAGGGGGGAAATTTGCCAAAAATTATGAAGGCCCTTACGTGATTAAATCAGTGATCCGTCCAGGGACGTTCAAACTCCAGACGCCGAAGGGAAAAGAAATTGAGAGGACTTGGAACGCAGAACACTTGCTCAAGTTTTACCATTGAAAATTTATCATTGATACTCCAACCTGATGATTATGATGTATGGTAACCACGTATGGTGGTAAACGCGGTCCTTTTCCATCCACTGTTTTCAAATAAGAGATCTCCTTGATCCACACAAGAGTGAATAATGGCAGTCCCTGGCCGCAAAAAAAAAACATGGTGTCGTTCAAAGACACTGTGGGTGTCAAGCTCACCCAAAACAAAAACAAATTACAAGGTGTCATCCAAGGACACCATGGGTGTAAAACTCACCCAAAACAAAAAAAAAATGAAATAAAAAACTAGTAAGTAGCCAGGCATGTCTCCTATGACATAGCTGAAATTCTCAACACGCAAGGGGTATAGACTCGCCCCTAGAAAGGGGACGAGGATACATCGCAAATCGATCCCAACAAATGCGTAACCCTCAGGGTTGTATGGTCAGGATGCATCTGTGAAATATATCGGATAGCGGCCATGTTTCCCAAAAAACGTTGTGTGCCCCAGAGCAAGCCTAAGTCACTCAGGTGTTAGGTTCGCTCACTTAGTCCTATTTTTTTGGGAATAAGTGATGCGCGCAATGTAGCGAAGGAGGAGGTGTCAACGACACCTTGTGCCTATCGTTGTCCTCAGTCACTCTATCTAAATGCACAATGCCTCAATTGAAAATTAGGCAGATACGAGGCGATAAATGCACCAAAGTTATACACTTGGTGTAGTATCACCGTACACTACTATAAATGATCACACAAACCATGCCAAACAAGGCATGGTCACAGCGTGGTCTCATAAAACCTAAATGTTGGTCAAATAATTAATTATGCGATAATACTAAACAATAACGAAAGGAAAATAAGACATGCATCATTATTATTTTATGAAATTCAAAACATGTTTAGCAATTCGGGTACTCGTAATTGAAGACATGACAGAATTAAAGTCTACACTACGTCCATCCGTCACTCCCATGCATGCTCTAAGGCACAGAAGCAGTCGAAGCTGGGTGATCTGTCTCGGAAGGAATTGAAGATCGCCAAGCTCCTCATCAGTGGGGAGTCTGTCAAAAGGAATGTAGTCCAGGGGCGTGTTGGCTACCGGGATCTCAGGGTTGGGAACCTCAGGAGGAAGTCCCCAATCAGTGATGCAAGAGGTACCAGCCTTATCCCTCAAGATAGGATATATTTTCTGTTGAGTGGCATATATCCCGATATGGTAGGAGATGTAGCTCTCTGAGGCCAGTTTCTCACGACCTTCCGGAGTAGACAACCAATGCTTGTTAATATCGTTCAAGTGGGCATTAATGTATGCTTCCTGATCAGACACGAACTCTGGAGAATTTTTGTATGCATCCACGGCCCGCCCCCTTGCATTGGCCAACTCCACGGCGTGCATTTCTTTAAGCGCAGTGACCTCGGCTGCATGTGAGTCACGCACGAGCTTGAGCGATGCCACCTCCTTCGCTAATTCGGTGAGTTGTAGCGACAAATCTTTCTCGCGCTCATCTTTCCTTCGGCTCACCTCGGAGATGGACAACAGTAGCTACAAAAAAAAAAAATTAGTATCACGAGATGCATAAATAAAAGGTAACGGGGAAATGGGGGGGTTACCTCGGCCAGGCCATGGTGGCTATTCTTCTCTAAAGCAGCATGGTCAAGTGTTGAAATTTTCTCCTTCTCAGTCGCCGTGATCACCTGTGATAAGAGCGGAGGTAACTCAAGGTTACCTTGTAACCAAGTAGTCATCCCCGCCGTGGGAATATCACTCATGCTACGGGTGACGCGGGCTGCGGGGCTAGCGGCCCTGCGTTTTGCAATGGATGAAGGCACAGTTACAATGGCATCCTTGCCTTTTGTGACGGAGGGAACCCTTGGTTTCTTGTCAGAGCGCCCCTGATCAGTACCGGGAGGCCCATCCTGGTCAAAGCTTTGGAACATCTCCAGCCGCGATGTCATATCTGCAAAAAAGAAAAAAAAAAGGTATGCATATGTGTTAGTTAATATATATGCGTGTATTATCTCCTATAGACAAGGTAACTGTGGACAACCTTGATCCGTGGACGTGGATGCGTGTGCACCCGAACATGGTGACGGCGAATAGAGTCCAACCGTGGTCAGGCGGTCCTCGGAAGTAAAGGCAGAGAGGCTATACGGTCCTCCAGAAAGAATCATAGCCGGCCATGTCTCCTGGTCAAATGGAAGTTTCGGGTACGAATACTTCTTAAATCGACAATTCAAAGACGATGAAAAAGGTAACGGAGATCCAGACGACACATAGACAAATTCTTCTTTCCAATTGGCTTCGTTGCTACGAGTGATCTTCCACATGTCAAAGTGGTTGCGCTGAGAGATAGACACCCAGGACAGACTATCAGATGCCGAGCACTGCCCAGCTCGGAACATGTGCTTGAAGAGGTCTAGGGACGGTTCAATCCCAAGTGTCTCACACCGGACCAGGAAAGCTACCAGATACTGATGACCGAGCGGAGTCAAGTGACAAGGTGAAATTTCAAGATCATTTAAAAACTCGATAATCAAAGGGTGTGTGGGAAAGCGGAATCCTAATTTTATGGAAAGAATATGCACCCCGAAAAAGTGACCCTTAGGAGGATCGGTTACAATATCCTCCGAATCGGGACATCGGACAGTCACTGTGGACGGAAAAAATTTCTTATACTTTTGAAACTTGGAAACTGAGAGGCGCGACCTGTAGTGTAAGATGGGGCTCGGGTCTAAGGGTGGATACGGACCACGATAGCGACGTTTTGGTGGTTTGACTGAAGCGGCTCGTGGCTTTATGGGACTAATTTCTTCAACATCAGAATTAACATCTGCCCAAGGATGAGGAAAATTTTCCAACACTAATTCCCCGTCACCACTGAGCAATTCATCAGAGTCTATGGAGTCCAGTACATCCATAAGGTATTATCAGCTAAAATATTATGCAAAAAAAAGCAAGAGAAAAATCAGCCACTGATTATAAAAAAAAAAAAATACTACGTATATCAGTCATTAGATATTAAAAAAAAAATGAAAAGGATGTCATTACAGTTGATAGCAGAGGAGCTATGTTTCAAAGCCAAAATTAATACTAGTAGTAAACGGGTAACAAGGGTATAGCCGAGGCAGCTATGGTCAAGACAAAACTAAAATATTTCTTTACTATCTGGGGAAAGAAATCAATTCAAAATTAAAGGAAAGAAGACAAAAGGGAGACAGTGCTTACCTACGTATTGTGCGGTGCAAAATCTAGAGCAAGATAACGACGACGGCTGAATCGGGATGGACAACCAGAGCAAGATGGTGACGGCGCAGGTGCTGGACGGCGACGACGAACAGTCCTCGGTGTCGCCGGAATGTTCTGGTGCTCAACGGAAGGCCGACGGCGACAGAACACATCACCCAAGAGGGCCTTCCGGCTGCACAGGGGCGGCAACTGAGAAAAAGAAACGAAGAAGAAGGGTTGTGACCTGAAGTAAAGAACAACTCACAAACGGTGCTGGATTCGGCCACGAAGGTTCAATGGCCGGTGGCAGTTCGGTGATTCCTCTGGCTCGCGACGGTCGGTGGAAGCTGATGAGAAGCAAGGGCAGAAAGGAATTCTAAGTAGGCTTGCTGGTTGCGCGAAGGGACGCCGGCGGACAGTGGACGACGGAGGCTTGGTTGCCGGCGAGCTGCGGTCTGGACAGAACAGCTATGGCGGTGGTTGACCCTTATCAACGAAGCTGCCAGGGAAGAAGTAAAATTGGGAATATGAAATACAAATTCTGGTTAAAAATAAAAAATAAAAATCTAAATGATTGAATGAGTAAAAAAAAAAAAACCAAAATTGACATGGTGACCATGTCTTCCTATAGCCACGGCAACTGTGTCTCTATACTCCCTATAGCCAATATGCTATTTGGCTTAGGGAGTGGGGGGCTTATGATGGTATAATTATCCCAACCATGGATAAATGTTGACCGGGTTAACATGGATGAAAACAGTTAGAGGTTGATGTGCATGGTAACTATGCACGGATGATGACAAGGTATAAGAAGAGCTCGTACATGGTGACCACGTGCGGGTTAGAAGATAAAATACTGTACATGACGACTGTGGACGCAAGTTAATAGAAGATCAGGGACTACACAGTGACCGTGGATGTCGGGGTAGGCTTATCCAGAGAGCATGCCCACAGCAACCATGGACGCGATCAAGTACCTTAGCCAGAGGAGCGTCCACAATGACCCTGGACATAGTAGTAGAAGCTTATCCAAATAACATATGCATGGTGTCTTTGGACGTTATGCCTACATGGTGACTCCGTACGGACAAACTACATCAATGACGTCTTTTCAAGATATTCACACAATCAAGTGAATCAACAAAGGATCCCGCGGATCCGGATTACTGATTTGCATATCAAATCGAACATGGCGACCACGTCGCCCAAATCTTTTATGTCTCATTTTCTACTATAAAATCATGTAATCCTTAGAATGTTGATAAAGCTGAATACACTGAATATACTACATACATTTATCTCTCTAAAGATTATCCTGAGCACCTTAATTATTTTCGGTTATCTCTTATTAATTATTTTCCGGTGGATTTACTTCCATCAAAAAGTATATGTAATATGTTAATGCATGGCTGAGAAAAAAGCGGATTATTTGAAGATGATGGTTGAGATGCATAAACGGATTTTGAGATTAATTAAAAATTAATTATGTAACAATATTTAAAAGGTAAGAATCATAGAATATATTGATTTTTAGAGATTACGAATGGTGATGCTCTAAGTCAATGAAAGTTTTTACTACGCGTAAGGTATGATCACGTGATCATATGTTATACATAGTACTGACTTATATAAAGTTTGAGAGTTTATATAAAGTATGTACGTGATCATAGGTAATTGTTTAATAAATCTTATAGTATTTACAAATTTATAAATCTTTTTTTATAAAGATAATTGTTTCGGGTTTTTATCGGTTCGGGCCGGGTTATAGATTTTAAAGCTCGTTAATGAGCCCGGAATATAGGGTTCGGTCCGTTTTTTTTTTAATTCGGGCCGGTTAAAAAGAAAAACCCGGACTGAGATCATAATTCGGGTCAATACAGGGCCGGTTTCTGGGTTTCGGTTCGGTTTTTCCCACATCTAGTATTGATATAGATTTCTTTCCTAAATGAGAAGTAATGGGAAGTGTTACTTTTATTTTGGCACATCCAAAAAAGGAAAGTGTGACTTAAATTGCGAAAACGGAAGGAGTGTATTTTAACAGGAAATGCTACAATATAAATGATAAATTGCTACAATGCATCTATTGTACCACTTGTCGGATGCATCATACTAAAACTGTCACATTTGATATATTGTGACATTTTTTTTACACTTATTGCAACATTTTGCATATCCTACATAAGATATACTTTGTTGTAGTGTTTATAATAATTGAAGTATGATTTAATTTGATCTGGTTTCATCTGACATTGAAACATGTTCAATTGATAACATGTTAAGTCATCACCCAAATAGAGAAGGAAAAGTAAATTTTTAGAGAGAGTTGCAATCAATTCAATATCATGGTAGTACACATTTATCAATTATCATGGTAGTACATATTTCGTAATACCCTTCCATAATTGGGAAAGGAGTACTTACAGTAGTATAAAATCTTGAAAAACGGGTTATCTATAAGAAATACTACCTCCATCCCGGTGAACTTTGTCAAGTGCAAAGTAGGTGAGAAATAAGAAAAGTAAAAACTGTGTGATTGAGATTTGTGTAGATGAGAGAGAAATGTGCAGAACCACAAATTAGTTGCTTTAATTGGAAAGTGACAAAGTTTTTTGAGACAACAAAAAAGGGAAAGTTGACAAAGTCCAATGAGACGGAGGGAGTAATAGAAATACACATGTCCTTGCTTGCTACATGTAAATGTGACCATGAAGAAAGAATGATGTACACGCAAGACTTATGACTTCAACATAGGGTGTTGTGACGTCGTGCGGCCTCATCAAGCACCCCCGGCTCAAGGGATGATATGTTTGGTCCAAAAGGATGACTCCCCAACACAAGGGCTCTCACGTCCCGATCCGACAAAGCATGTTAGAGGTTGTAAATCACGGTGACTCAACCAATCCAGAGGTCCAATCCAGCACATAGGAGCTGTGACTCTCCACATGATCATTGCGGGTTTCGATTCTTAATCATTTGTCCAACTTTCCCTCTGCTTTACCAGTTGAGCTACCCGTGCGGGTAGTTAAGGAATGATACATGATCATACCTTACGCATAGTAAAAACTTTCAAACCTTATACCCTACGATCACGTACATACTGTATATAAACTCTCAAACATTCGACGTAGTTAGTACTATGTAACGAAATAATGAGTAAAATGTAACATCTTATTATTAAAATCTAAAAGTATGTACTCAGTATTTCATATCAAGTTGAATGAGGAATATTAGAAAAAAACTTGAGGTGCATAATAAAGTAATTTAGAGGACGGGAGATTATGAATTCTTTAAAATCAGGTTCATAACAATTATATTTACTTGAGATGCTCATGTAGAAGATCATAGTAAATATTTTTCATATAACTTTTTCTTTGTTTTACAAATTAAATATATTTTACATATTTTTTTCATGATTCAGAAGATTTCACTTATTCAGTCCATTCAACCGGAATTCAATCAATTTCAGCAAAATAAGCTAATTCGACCAACTTTAGTATTATCAAACAGACTCCATATTAGACTGAGTTTAATTTGCTTTTGCATCACATTATATGTGATCCCAAAAAAAATCAAATTTAAATCTAGCTAAATTACACACTTCTCGTGCATCGCACGGGCTTGAAAACTAGTATAAAAGAACAATGAGATATTTCACGTTCCGGCTTTAACCGGCCCAACCCGAACCCGGACCGAACCCGGGCTACCAAAAACCCGACTCGGACCGAATATAATAGAGTTTGTTCCGGTCTCTAATTTTCATAACCCGAGACCGAACCGATCCCACCCCTAATCAATAAAGTATAAAACAGTGTCAAAACAGTGTACTTTACAATAAAATTTACCCCTTGGTTAAAAAAAATCATTAATCTTTGTGAAATAAAAGTGTGACTTTGATTGTGAAACGGGAGGAGTATACTATAAAAAATTTCTTATGGTGCTACAAAATGAAAGTTACAATAAACACTTTTTGTACTAGTCAAAATACACATAAAATAGATATATACTAGATCAAGCCATAGTTAACACGACCAAAGTAAAAAATTATAATCTAATTAAAAATAATAGCCAATCCTTAAATTGAAGAGCTCCCATAAAAAGGGGTTTTAAGGTTCCATTTGAACTACTGTGACATGTCATCAGAATCATTTCGACATTTTGGAGAGAATTGTTTCTCTTCCACCAATTACTGCCTCCCACGAACATCAAAGAATATTGTGTCTTGCTACTCTTTGCTTTGAAAAGGTAGATTCTAAGAAAAAGGTAGATTCTATGGTACTCAAAAGGTACCATGCCTTTGTCCACTTGGACCAACCAGAATGTTGCAGTTGCATTATTTAAATCTAAATTATAAATGATTTAGACCAATCATATGAGTCGTAGGTACGGTATCCCATTTTTTAAATGGGTACCGGAGTTTACACCCAAAAGAAAAAATACATATTGGAAGACTGACGATCAAATATTGACCGCCAAACGCAGTCTAACCATACACGTTTGCAACTTTTTATCTTTTGAGTGCTTGGATGTTGCGTCCATCCTAATCTGCTCCTCTAATTAAGGAGTACGTATATTGTACAACCGGCTGTACGGTGAGCAGTGGCGGAGCCAGAGATTTTTCGAAGGAGGGGCGTACCGAAGGTTAAGAATTATTGTGTAATTGCTCAAAATATAATAAAACAATAAAAGTGTAATATGTATAATCTCGGTAAATCAATCATATATAGTTTATTACATATTGTTTGTCTCGTATCTATAATCTGGGTAAATCAATCATACGAGCTTTAATTTATTCGAAATGTTGTATGATAACTTCATGTTGGAAAAACACGACTCATAATACAAAGATTCAATCTGACAAAATCATTTTCTATTACCCACATTCACTCTTTGTATTTGGGAATATTATACTTTACCTAACTCGATCATGATCACATACACTTCATCAAGTGATATTTTTGTGTCTTCTTTCACAAGAAGGCTCTCACTTTCTTCTCTCAAGGAGACTCTCACTTTCAATCACTCAAGAGCTCTCTTCAAGGTTCTCATAGAAATAGGAAACTTCTCTAAAGCTTCTCTTTGTTCTAAAGATTTTCGCACACTTCCACACGATTTTAGTGAGTTCCACACTTCTCTAAAAAAACTCCACATTATTATTCTAGAACATTCAATACTTATCTACACACATATAGAGAATCTTAGACAACTTTGTAAGATTGTAAATTATAAAATTCTCATTAATTTCTCCACTAAGGAGGGAATCCAACACAGTCTCGAGAATATCCTGATCTTTTCATTGCAAGAAATGTGACAACATATTCATCAAACTCAATACTTTCTTGCTCAATATAACCACGAAAAGCCAACAGTGTGTAATTAAAGGTCTAAAAAAATGCACACTTGCATTCAAATGAGTATGGTATGTACTTGTATTCCTAGAGATACGTACATTTCCTGAAAGTCTTTACCTTTTATTATAACACTTAATCTAAAATTAATCTTAATTGGTATTGATTTTTGAAAAGAAGAAGGGATGCATTAAATATACTCAGTATTATTATAAGTAGTAGTACTAATTTTTTTTGCCCGAAGCGGGGGCGCTTGCCCCCTCATGCCCCTCCCCAGCTCCTCCACTGACGGTGAGCACTGTACAGTCGGCCCAGAAATAGGTCCAAGAGGAAAATAGCAAAATAATTCGGTGGCATTTTTGTAATAATGTAAAAATCGCGGTTTCTACTAAATGAGCATTAGTGTACTGCTAATGAGCAATAGTCCAATTTTAATGAGTATTAGACGTTTAATAATG